TACTATAGCATGTCGTTTTTGTCAAAAAAGGTCACATTCCAGATCGGAGCAAGTGTGGCCTAGTTACGAGCCACTTCCTGTTTAGTGGCGAGCCGCGTCTACCTTGTGGTTTTTGTGTTACTTCCTTTTCCCCAAGTGAGCCAAGTTTTAACATCCAAAAATATCTGGAACCACAATGTCCATCATTTTTATCAATACTGGGGAAAAAATGGTGGCTCCACATTCTATAAGTATTTAACAATTTATACTTTTACAGCATCTACAACTTGTTTTTGGGAGTCAGAGGGTTAAGCATGAGCATAGCTAAGTAGTCTAAGCATATCTTCCTAAATATTATCACTCTTGTGTCTACACTGGGGAGTAACATGATAAAGAAAAGCACAGATAAAAGGATCTGTATCATCTCTGAACTCTTGTGAAAGTGCCACTATTTTAGGAGAAACCTTGTGGAAACTTTACCAAGACTCACCGTGTAAATCCATCACAAGTCCTGAGCAAGTCCACAAAGGCCACCCCAATGAAGCCGTCCACGTTCAGGATCAGGTTGGGTTTCTAGCAGACAGATTAACACGTCACGTAAAATAAAACGTGTCATTTTGTAAGGGCTGCAAAGAGAGCATGAAGTTTAAAGTCCTACTTTGGAGGTGGTGATCTTCTCGACGTCTAGAGCGTAGTCCAGCAGCTGGGTGGAGGGAAAGTGCTGCTTCACAAAGTCCTTTAGGATCTGGACTCTCATGTCTGGATTGTTGATCTGAGGAAGCACAAAAACTCTTTTTAATTCACCAGCTTTCTTCTAAAATAAACTGCTTTGTATGATATTTCTGACCTCAATACGATGTCAGCAGAGGAGTATAGCTGTTGTTCCTATCAGGTGTATTTGTGCTATGACGATGTTCCACTCACCGACTTCACTCTGTGTCCGATTCCCATGATCAGCTTGCCATCCTTCTTCATCTTGTTGACGAACTCCATGGGCAGCATACCGCTATCGAACGCCTTGCTGAACTGCTTCGCTGCAGCATCCAGAGCACCTCCGAAGCGATCACCCTAAAAAAAAAAAAAACGCTCATGGTGGATTTCTTCAGGTGTGGAAATAAAAAGCATCAGTAAATGACAGGTTGGAGTGTCTTACGATGGTGAGGAGGCCGGAGGTGAGACTGGAGATGAGATCTTTTCCAGCTCGAGCGCAGACAATAGTGTTGTGAGCTCCCGAAACAGCCGGACCGTGATCAGCAGTCACCATGAGACACATCTCAATGAACTGGCAGGCATATCTGGGCAACCTGCGCAAAAAAAAACACACAATAA